CCTGCGTTATTCTTTCCATGTGTTCCCAAAGCGTAGAAGGGCAACTTCCTGGCATTCGTTGGGGAAGAAATTTACAAGGCGACGAGTTAGCTCGTAAGGAATACACCGGGAAACTTTGGGAATTGATGAAAAGGCGATATACTAAACATCACGAAAATAGTAAGTTTAAGCAAGACTTGAGTTACTTGCGTTAATGAGGCGTTAGAGTTGTGTACATACGCATCGGACACACCTGAGAATAGTCCGGACTAATATGTTATTTTATTTTAAATAGCTCAAGACAACAGGGTGTCATAAAAATACAACCTGTCACTCTTCATGCAATCAGCCCAATTTATATTCATCCAAGTTCAGGACAAGGAAATGACAAGACTGTATCTTCAGATCCTGGAGGTCAAACTATCAATGAAAATATACGAGAAAACACACTGACTTGATTCCTAGATAAAGAATTTTGGTGAAGCAAGAAAAAGAATGAAGGCCAAGCAAAGTTGAGTTACAAAATAATAAACAACGATGACAATGATGAACATGGATTTCTTCAAAGATTGCATGTTTTTTGTCACTATTTAGTTAATCCGATAGCCATTTATTTTCAATAGATATAAATATATTATTTCAGTCAAATCATCAAGTCGTAATAAAGATAACCACTCTAGAATACCAGTGTGTTCAACTCTTTGATTTTTCATTTTCATAACATGAAATAGCTCGTTCAGTTCCTCTTTTACACCTGCTTAAAGTTTGACCACCGTAAAAGACGCTGCATATGAGGCTGGACGTGTTGGGACTACGTGGAAGTTGTTATCCGTGATAACGTTTTCTATATCAAAAATATCTATAACCTCATAATGAAAAAGTGGAAATTAAGGCGCGCGTGCCCTTCATGTCCTCGCACCCCAAGATTAACCCTCTAAACCCTAAGATCAAAATTTGAATTCTCACTCGTTGCCCCTATTCATTTCCTACAGAAGTAGTGGGGAGACGTTGATAAAATATCAAGCAAATTCATTTTGTGCCATCATATCCACCTGTCTGTTTTAAGTTTTGACATTCATGATTTGTCTGTTTAAAAGGTTAAACTCCTCTTTTCCTTCTCCTTCCAAAGTTTTGACATTTTAAAGGAGAAATTTGATGCTGATCTTCGACGAGTTGTTTTGGGATATTTTCGACCAAATGAAGGGGCAAATTTCGAAAACAAAAAATTTTAAAAACGGGGTTGTTTTCGATTTTTGAGTCTGATGGAGGCCTAAAACACTCTAAAACCCAGAAACACAACAAACGCTGCATAAAGAAGTAAGTATTCTTTATTGATATCTTCCAAATAAGGGCAATTTTCGGGGGTTAAATGGAGAGACATGAAATTAAATGCAAATTTACTCTGTGTAGGAAATATCGCGTTCGGTTGCTTTTCCTCGACTTTAAAAGCATTATTTTACATAAAAAATAATATAAGGAATGTTCAGGATGATAGAGAGAGGCTAGAAACGAAAAGAAACTGCATTAAACGGTCGGAATTTACCTTTGAAAACCAGTTCTTCCCAGTCGTTCTACCCACTTCGAGTTTTTGGTGAGAACTCGTCGTAGTGCAACTTGCCCGTGACGACTTGAAAACGTGGAGATGCGCAGAACGGGTGCGCAGTACGCAAAATCGCTGATCTCGTTCTAGAACTCGTACTCGTTGTCGATGCTAACATCCTCTATTAACAGAACGGATACCACTTTCCCTAGCCTCCCACGCAGTCGTTTTTAGGTGAGCTCGTATTTCTTCCCTGAGCTCCCCTAAAAACGCCTGCGTGGGAGGCTACACTTTCCCCTTTCATTGCTTTCATCTCAATAAAACGAATCCAGAGTTTCTTTGTTCCTGACAATCAATCAATAAACTTTATTTACCCTAGAATTTACAGTGTAGCACTCAAGTGCTAATAATAATCAGAAGTAATTATAATTGTTACTAAAACCTGCCTTCGTGGCAGGATTTTAACGATAAAATCGTGGCTGCTCAATTCTTTTAACTTTCATAAAACGCTACTGTATCTAGTCAATACAATACTTTATTCAAGAGATAAAAACTAAAGCTACAAAATATCTCTCGAAAGGGGACATCTAGAGGTTAACCCGATATAAAAGATTCCCCAAAATAAAATATGAAGAGGTAAAATCTAGAATCTAAAACATTATATACAGAGAGAAAAATCTAAAACCTAAAGACTAGAATCAAAAACATCATTGGCATATCATCATTGAAACTATTTAAAATCGTATTAATCAATATTCCTATAAATCCCTAATCAGTTGCGAAATAAAGTCGGCGATCCTGCGTGTACAACATCTTTAGGCAAGTTATTCCATGCATTAACGATCCGCACCTAGTTACTGAAAAAGTATCGGAGTCCCTCTCTGTCATCTTAGCCCCAAGAGACAAGTCTCAAACCAAGTACTTTCCATTCACCGTTCATTAAATTTTATCCCTAACCGTTTGTTTGTCATTATTCTGACGGAGAATCCATTTTTCTAAAACACAAATGACGCATTTCAAATCTCTAGTTTAAGTTTATACCACACGGTCTTAATAACGGCAGTTATTTTATATATGCCTTTTTCAATTCAGGAACTGGGAAAGCGGATACCGGCCTAAACGATAATGGAACGTAAATGGCCTAAACGTATAAGAATCTGATCTATTCTACGATCATGGGACAAAGTCTTGGGGCAGTTGTACAATGCTAACGCTTTTCAATACACGCCAAATAAACATTGGCGCGCGACTAACGTCCCCAACCCCTCACTCTCCCATGGACTTAGTCGGGGGCGGCTCTTATTCGAGTGAATATGATAATTAGCCACATTATCATAATGAAGCAGACAGCCATAACAGAGCCCCTTTAATGATGTATCACTTACGTCATTGATGACGTTAAACTCACATTTATCACTATTAATTGTTATTACATCTATCAAGTGCGAAAAGTTATTATACATTTAGGACTTTATTACATTTAGGGCAAAATGTTATTACATTTAAGTCGATTTAAATGTTCTTAAAACATAGCCAGTCTTAACGTCTTAATGATGCTGACAGTTTCGATGACTGTCAGCCATCTGTATCAAAACTTGAAAACATTAAATGTGTCAGATAGGCTTCTGAAGGTGTTAACTATTGCGATAAACGCGCAAAGTCAGTCTGTAGACGCCCCCTCCCCCCCTGGTTTGGGGGTGGAGATCACTTGTGTCCATATGGGAGAAAGCTGATAGGCTCCCTCGTCCCTGTTCATAATAGGAGTGTTTGATCTAATACATATGCTTTCCTTGATCCATCGCTTGAACTTGTCGCTTTCCTGCTCAACTATTTCACTTGCTTCCCAATTCATAATACTGATTTTTCAAGTTTTGATAAAGATGGCTGACAGTCATCGAAACTGTCAGCATCATTAAGACGTTAAGACTGGCTAGGTTTTAAGAACATTTAAATCGACTTAATAACTTCCCTAGCCTGATGAATTTCTTCAAGAAGTTATCACATTTAGGATTTTATTACATTTAGAGTCGTTTATTACGTTTTGGTCTTCTTACAAAGGGTGTTTGTGGGTACTTAGAGGAAGTTTGGAAGGGGTTGACGCTAAAGCGTTCAAGCCCTGACCCTGTTTAAGATGAAACAAAGTTGTTCATTTTGCCACCCTGTTAACACTACAGATCATTTTCTATACACATTAAAACTAAGGGCCGCCAGTCATTTAAGGAACTGTGCCGCGCTATAATGCTATCTTTTAAAAAGCTAAAGCCGGTCTTCGCATCAATAGAATTCGAAAAATAATGGTCCAGTTTATTTATTTGAAACTAAATTTAGGCATTTAAACTTTTTTCTGTCGTCTGTTGCTACGAATGGCAAGGATAAATATGGATTGAAACTTGGAAAAATCAGGCCACCTTATTTTGTGATACTTTGGGCCGATCCGCACTGGCAGACAAATTTGGAATGGTATTTGAACCTCTAAACCAAACATTATTATTATGACAATTTTTGTTATGAAAAAATTTATCCGCACTGGAAATTATTTACTTTTATTACACGAAAGCAGGCCCTCACATCTGTCCTTACTTAATGGAAAGAATGATGGCTTTACAAAAAATGATCGACAAGAAAAACACATATCGTTTATTTAGTCCATTTTTTCCAGTTCTTACCCGGAGTAAATTGTGTCCCTGGCGCCTTGATGATTGTCCCGTCTCAAACAAAATTTGTAAAATCACGACAAACCATTCGCATTTGTTGGGCGCCGTGATGACAGAAAATTTGTCTCATTAAACAGCGTTTTAACTATGCAGATCGGCCCTATTCCAGAAAAAATCGCCAAAAAATGTTATGGTGAGAAATCTCTTATCAAAATCAAATTAATTTGATATCTTCTTCATAACTCTACAGGAGCATTTTGTGTATGGGCGCACGCACTAAGTTATTACTTTCGAGCATGAAGAGAATTGACCTAAAACAGCAATATATGACACATGACAGAGTCCCTATGAGGCGCCCAGGGTTATATAGTGTATAAAAAACTGGTTTGCTCGTTGTCTTAACCCTTTAAGCCTCAATATCCACATACAAATTCTCCAAACTGATCTCCATACATTTCCTTCATGAATGAGTTGAGACAATTTGATAAAAGATCAAGCCATTTCCCTTAGGTGATCATTTTATTAATTCTCATAACCTAATCTCTTTACATGGTACGAATATCGTTAGGAGAAAATTGACGTTAGTCACTATTGGGACTTAAAGGGTTAAACAAAGACAGTGCAGTTGACTTTCTTACAAGCAAGAAGAAAGTAATAAAAATTTTCTGTTCATTTCCAGCTATATTTTCAGCCAGCAACCTAAAAATATTCTGTGACAGTCTTCTCTGCTACGGAATTCAAAACAAGGGACGCAGCCATTGTACTCTACGCTAAAGGTCCGTAAGATGTTACCCAACACGACTGGTTTGTACACGTGGTTTTCCAATCTTTCGTTTTTTGAACCAGTGATAAATTCGCCTGAAGACAAAGTCCACAAATTCAAGTACTGTCAGGCAGCTCATTCCCAAGAAAAGACCAAACGTACCACCCAAATTTCCTTGTAGAATAAATATAATAATAGTATGATTAGCACTTATTGGCAGTATATCTAGGAAAAGGTCGTGGTTGTTGATTGGAATATATACAACCAATGCCTAAATAGAGTCTAACCGAATAATTTCTTTATTATCACTGATTTGTTGTTTTGGTAACCGTGGTCTTACAAAATGAAAAGATCACATGATACGAAACTGGAAATAAGTTATATCACCAGTTGAACAACGTTTCTGTTAGTTTACCCGAATTACAAGCCCACTACAGATGCTGGAAACCACCAATATGTTCAAAAGTTGTTTCTACATCCCATGTCTTGGTGGCAGTTATAACGTAGGAAACGTAACAAATAGAGAGGTCAGTCTATTGCTTTTTTTGTTTGTTTGTTTATTTTTAAATTTTTTAATACGGTGCAAGAAAAATAGAAAGAAAAGCACAATTTACATTGCTTCAACTAGGCCCTCTTAATCGACGCCTAGTGACCAATAGAATATTGGTGAGCTACGAAAATCTTCCAAATTCATCTTCCTTTTTTTTACTGACCTTTAGGTTACATGCTCTAAGAAGCCACAATAGAACCTACTCTGGGCCTGGAATTTAAAGTGTGTATACCAACAACATTAAACAGAAGAAGACTGTCTGCGTGGGTACAACAATGTTGGCCAATTTCATACAATTTTGAAACAAAATGGACGACGCATTCTTCTCAACTGCTGAATAAAGATTTTACAATAACGGAATTTTTTTTGCGCGTTGATTGGCTGATTTTATGATCAATAAGAGGGCAGACACATAAAATTTTAATTTATGCAAAAAGCAGTCATTTGCCGAACGAATGCCAAACTTCGATGTTTTTGTTTAGTTTAGTTTCGTAGAAGCTTCACTTTCTGTCTAACAGGAAAATCGTCAAATAGCTCTGATGCACGACTTGCATCCGGTTTGGATTCCATACAAAAGGCTCATCCGACAAGCAGAGGAAACTGGACAAAAACGCCTAGTTTCCAAAAACTGGAGACGACTTGCTGGAAATTGTACAGCTTCAAAACTGCGATTCAGATAGGCTTTTGATATTCATACATAGTTGTAAAGTAAAAATACTGAGAAAATATTCAAAATAAAGACATTGATTGCAGTAGTTTTCCTTTGACAACTATTGAGTGTTTTTCTGATTCTTCTTTTCGAAAGCAAAAAAAATACAAACTTTCTGTTCATACTTTGCGAAACTTTGTAAGTACGTACCTGGTAAGTTGACTTGCGCATGAAAACCAACTTTCGGGTTGATTGTACGAAGTTCACGACGAAAAAAAAGACTTGAACTAAGGTAAGCAACAGCTTCACGATTTCTAATCGCGCTATTGGGTTAGCAACTATTCAAAACTGCTTACCTAGTTGCTCTATACACAGCTCAACCGTACAATGCTTCGACTTGTTCGGTTATTTTAACGGCTCCAGAATCTTCCCTTGGAGTAATTTTTAACCTTGGGTAAGTTTACGACTTTATACTACCCCAAAATGCCTCCATTTTTCCAGAAAATAAACATCACTAATCTCATTCTTGTTCTGAACTTTGTAAAACAGTAAATTCCTAGTTTATTCAGGGCAGTGACGTGACTGAACCTGTCAAAGTTTTAGCCAATGAAACTCAATCACTTACTTGTTTTCAGTAGCCAATCGCCAAGGCGAGACACGTTACTGACAATCATTGCGCTAGTTTAAAGAATCATAAATTTTGTTGTGTTTTCTTCATTTTTACTGGAAATTTGACTTTTTCGAGCTTTTGTTGTTGTAAAAAATAAATTGACACCATTTTTTTGTGCCTGTCCTCTTATCTTTCAAAATTCTGTTTTGAACTAGCATTCTTGACGATTCATAATTTTTAATTAAGCATTGCTCCTTCAGTATTTATATTTTGCAACATGCACTTCTTTTCTGACTTGATAATAAGGAGTTAGGTGAACGACGGAACGTTGTGGTCTTTTTAACTGTTTTTAACTTTTTAATATGAGCAACATTTTAGCTTAGTATATTATATCTAAAATGGGCAATGTCATGGTGATACAAAAATTCTCACAAAGTTCGTGAAAAGCTCTAGTATATGAATTATTTTGTAGTAACTGCAGTATTCCTCAACCTTTATTACCCATATTTATACGGTGTAAAATTTCTCAATGGCATACCATATATTCGCGTAATTTTAATAACAGCTTTACTAACCAACTAGCGTCCATGGTTGGTAAATTGGCGTCTGTTCAATGACATCGTAAGCAAGATCTTCAAAGTATAAATCCAATGAAATAATGTTATCGCTGCGGATTAATTAAAAATTTTGTTATTCTTTAACCATGCCTTTGGTATTTAAGGCTGGAAGCAATGAAATAAAGAAATGACTAAAATAAACCAATAAGGAGACAGACACATCGGAGAATAAGGCAGATGGTCTCGAAATACATGGATAGTACAAAGGCTGACTAATTGTGTCGGGTAGTGAAACGCATGAATTGTCTGAAGTCGTCAAAACAATTAGACTGTATTTCAATAAGGAGCACTTACTTTATAAATTCTTCCCTCTCATGGTTGGTCATGTTCAACAAAGGCGCGTAAATATCTCGACCAACTGATGAGCTGTCGGATTCATTAAGGAATTCCATCAGATGCTCAATCAGAGCTTCTCTCTGTAGTCCACCATATGACAAAGACACCTCGTACTCAACTTGTTTACATGCTTCAGGACAGTTCTTCTCGCACACCTTTTTATCTTTAGACTTGCCAAACTCCTCTACAGAATACATAGCAAAATCATCAAAACGTCATTCCACAAAAAATATATAAGATGGAAATATTCTGGTCATTTTATTCATAAACAGGGTTGTATTGTATAGCCTTAGAAGCCGTGACTTTCACGCTCTAGTAACCATCGCTCCTTTTCATTTTATTTCTCAAACCTAACAGTGTCTATTAATCGTTTTCATTTATCTTAGCCCGTGTACAGACATCCCCCTCCCTCAGGAAAAATCGGGAGAGGAGACGTCTGAGAATCGCCGATGATAATCGTGTTCCCGTTTCCCTGAAATGTTGGGGACAGCCTCTGATTGGTTGTAATGTTAATGCCATGACGCAAATATTTTCCGGTGTTGTGATTGGTGAATGAACCTCAGAATAGATTCCCCGGGGAAAAGCTCAGCCTTTGTGGACATTCATATTTGTTTACCGGTATTTGTATTTCGGTTCTCTGGAAAAGGCATGAGAAGTTAAGACCCCCGATGTTTGCTGCACCGGTTGCGGGTGCGTCTGTCTGTACCGGTCGGTATTGTAAATAAAAGAGAAGGCATACAAAATCCAACCTTAACAGCAAAGGCAGGTCAAGCTTACCAAGAAAAGATTCTATTACTGAACTGATTATTTGAAAAAATGAATCCGTTCGTCGTTCCCGTAACTGGCGTCAAATTTAAATCGGCATTCCCGTATGCTGAATGAGCAGTGAATATTTTAAGAGAACTTCTCTGCATTTGTTCAGATTGAAAATCTTTGAATGGATTAAATGTCTTAGAAGACATTTACATCAAATTCAGGGAAACTGAGCTGGTAGAAATTTCGTGACTGAATCGCGTGCGAATTCACGGCTCATTACGCATCCAAGAATGCACACATAGATGAATCTGAAATCTACAACTACCAACAGTTCAACTTTCGAATGATAAATGTATCTTAGGGAGGTACGCTTGACCTGGCTTGAGTGTAGTCAGAGATATTATATTGGTTTTTTTTGGGTGGACATTGTGTGAAGATGTTCGGCTAGCTGTGCACAGACGCCAGAGCTATTTTCGACCTTCATGTGCCTTTTCAATTGTCAGCGAAAGAACAAAAAAATAATTTATGCAAATGTATACCGGAACACGATTAACGACGGCGATTCACAGACGCCTCATCTCCCGATTTTTCCTGAGGGAGGGGGGACGTCTGTACACAGGCTACATTTATCTTTGAGAAGAAAGAAGAAAGAAGGAAGCGAGTTTCAAGTACTGGGCTCATCTGGCACGTTACGAAAGATGGATGGCCCAAAAACACCGTCAGGTTGGAATTTTTCGTAACATACAGTGGCTGCTTTTTGAACCTCCGATTTCGGCTCTTCCTATCATTGCGGAGCATAATTCCCCAAGTGATTGATTTTGCACCCACGATTCGATCATGTGAGCTAAGTTTAGACCTTTATGAGAGATTTAGTTTTAATTTTATTCGACTGGTGAACCGTTGTTGCAGCAGTAATCATCATCCTGCTTATTCCTTAGTAGGGGAATCGCATACTCAGTCAGTTGGTATATATTACGCTTGCCTGAAAAGACAACGGTGTCTTACCATCTGTTTCAAGGCCTCTGAGAAAGTTAACATTATTACCTTCAGGAAACCGTAAGCGAACAGGCATAGAAGACCGCGATCTTCATGCCTCTAACTGCTGTAAAGACGGACAAAAACGCCCAGAGCACTGCCAATAGCACAATTAAAAGACGGTGAAGAAAAATGCTCTGCAGACAACTTAAATAAAGACCGGCTATTGTAGCTTGTAGTATACCCTTGTCGCTATCCTTTCGTTGTCCCTTTAATACGTTGGAAGATAGCCAAAGTACCGTAACAAAAAAAGAGCGACACGAGGTTGAGCTGAACCCAACTGCCCTATATACAACAAATGGAACCTATAAGGGGAAGTACAATCCATCAGCTTCAAAATCACGATACTGCCCGTGACAAGATAAATTGATTTGAAGTAAAGATATAAATGCATTATCCAGTGAACACGAACGATTCTCTCCCTAATGATCCTATATGTGCCTCCCAGTCCCAACACGTTTCTCATTTTTGCCTTTCTCTATCCGTAGATCAATTTTCTTTTCAACTCTCACATCGAATATGTAAAAATCAGTTGATTTACGTACCTTGGAATGGAAAAATACACAGCATCGAGTCATTCACTGCACAAATCGGGCCACTAGCTGTAAAACAAAACAACTGAGAGATGTAAAGGAAAGCTGACGTATATCTAGTTGAGCTCTATGTTCCAGCTCTTAAGCGCTATCAAAACGTATGGCAAATCTTGTTACAATAGCCGAGAGATTTTTTACCACTTACCGCACATGTGTAACTTGCGCATCAAAGTTTATGTGCGCGACAAAAGTTTAGAGACGTGACATTCCTTTATATCAGATTATATTACCAACCAAACGTTTAAAGCTTTGTTTGACTGAGAAAATGAAGAGGTCCATTTCAAACAAAGATCAACGTATATTCCTGCAAGCGAAAATCGTCTATTTGCAAAAGCTAACTTACGATATGTTTGTTTTCAGGAATCAATAGACCTTTTCGGTTTGTGTACGAATCAAGTTTTTTCAAGGGAATTTACCTTATGTGGACAGGATGACGTGCGAAACAGACAGTTCTTTGGGGTAACGTCACATGGTCCGAAATGGGAAGTCAAAAAACAAAATCAAGGTATAAAGAACCATAGTATACTTAAATAAATTACCGTTAACTTCAGGGAGCGTGCAGCCACATTTCTTGGTAGTGTAATCGTCGCGACATTTTCTCAGACAAGCTTCTTTAGTATAGCTATAAAAGGGGTCGGTATCGCCATTGGTTTGATCTGTGCAGTTTGTTGCATATGGCCACTTTAAGTTACTTATCTACAAAAATAGAAAAGCCCTTAGTTTCACCATAAAAACCATGGTACTAAAAGAGCTCTAGATTGTTTTTCTGTGCTTCTCGGGGTTTACGTACAGACTATTGAAATGCGAGGGATTAATGCCAGCAAGCAATTAACGCGGTCTTGCTGGCTGTACAAAATAAACAAATACCGCTCAAATACTTCAAAAGGCAGAGCTACAGTTTAAATATGTGGGTTGCGGGAGGGTGTTACCTGAGTACTTCTTACATTTCTTTTTTAAATTTTTAGATTATTAGTATTAACTTGTTAGGCCTTTTATAGGTGAAGCTCCGGGGGAACCCTAGCCTACTCTATGACACAAATTAAATGTTTGATTGATTGATTTGAAGACCAATCAAGTACCACTATTTGACGAAGGTCTCTAATTCTTAAAAATTAATCAAACCGGTTGCTATGATTTCAAAAAGCAACTGAAGTTTTTGTTATTAATACTAAGAACAACAGAAGCAATAATAAAAGTTTTAAAATTATTTAATATTCAAACAGCGCCGTGAAAAAATCGAAATTTCAAAGCTTTGTACGGAAGGATAACACGAACGTAAGTTAACAATTATATACAGTTAAATCTGGAAAACTGAAAAAGATTCACTGAGGGAGAAAAAAGCCATAAAAGTATGAAAATTGGTGTTATGCTACAGCATGGACACAAACCATTTAATCTGTAATTTTCCACGGCGCGCGAATATTAATCGCAAATTTCACAATTTTTAAGAAAGCCTTGTTCTTGAGACATTTATGGCAAAGACGAAACCCTGGGGAGAAGGAGTTTGTTTGACATACAGCTGCTGTTGTCTCGTATTTGTTAAGAACACTTACTTTGAACTAAAAATCGTGAAAACATAAAGGTAATACTAAAAATACGTGTCTCTCGCAGAACCTCGCAGAGCTCCCGAAAAGGGCGAGTATTAGAAATAAAAGGAAACAGAGGGAAACGAGCCCAGAGATGAAATAGAAGGAATAACAAACATGTAACCAAATGAGACTTGGTCGAATATCAACGAATAATTCCAAGTATAAAGCTAACCTTTCTCCTCTTAATGCCGCAGACGGTTGACATTCCTGGTTGAATAATAACTCCATACCCTTCCATAAAGGGAAAAGCTTTTTGATCGTGTATCAGTAGTGTGAGCCCCACTGACGCTACAGGATTTTTGACGTAACTTTCTCTTTCTATATTTAGTCGAAGCTTTAGGCCACTGTCCTTGCCTGCTAGTGTAACATTTAGAAGTGGATGATCGTTTTTTCCCGAATTAAACGTGTAGCACTGGTCATAAGAAATGCTCGCTTTCTTGCTAAAATTCTTCGGGCCACAAGCCTCTCCATTTAAAGAGCACGATTCAAAGGTCGAGCCTCGTGGTAGCAGCATCTCTTCAATCTGATGACTGAAGAGCGCGTACAGTTTCATCTCCTCTTTGACTGCTTCGGGGGAATTGGGTCGGTGAAAAAATTCGGGATTCCTTTCTTTCAATTCTTTCGTTAACACTTTTGGCGACCTTGCCAACAAATGGGACAAATCCTCAATCCTCTGTTTGAGCTGCTCTTCGGTAGAGTTTACATGGAAGAGAGGGCTGTACAGCTGTCGAATTCTTCGTGTGTTTGCAGGGTTGAGGTTACACAGCGTCACGGCAGGAAAGGGAGGCTCTAGGCCATCCTTAGGGGCTGTCTCTCTTTTTACCGTCGTGTGGAACGGGTAGCTATCAAAAGCTCTGACAGATAGAAACACTTGATAAGCACAGAAGGAAAAACACGAGACCATAGCTATATTCCAAACTACACGTCTGGAAACGTTGCTGACGAACAAAAATCTTGCACCGTGTAAAGTCGTATCTTGGGCGAAAGACTGAAACCCTTCAGCGGAATATTCATGTTCTTGTGTTTCTTCATGTTGGTTTCTTGAATCTTCTGTTCTTGAAAAGTAACTTTTGAAGCCTTGGTTTTCAGGGTCTTGCATTTTTAGACATAAGATTTCGGTTTTTTTGGTATCTCTTTTGACTCTTGGTTGATTCCTGTCTGTCTTTCAGCTTCTTAATTCTGTGATTTTCCAGAAAGAGAACGAATTTCAGACAACTTCAGTCTGCCTCTGAAAGAGATCTAAATCTAACATGATTAATTTTACCGTTCGTATAAATAATTAATTCTGTTTTTCTTTGATTTAAGTTTATTTAGTTAAAATTTGCGAGCTTCCTGAACTGAACGAATTTTAAAGTACCCGCTTTGTCTTTTCACAGAACCGTCAAAATATTAAGGTCATTAAGTACTATTTTTTTTTAGCCAAAATTGAGTCCGAAATCTCTCCTGTGGGTTTTCATTGACTATTTTCCAATTCCCCATAATACACTCTGTCTGCCCCCCAAATTTTGCATAACTTATTGTCTTAAAATGCTCTTGGGAAAATGCAATACTCCCAGGAGCATTTAAAAACAATGGTTTATGCAAAATCTGGGGGGCAAACAGAGTGTATTATGGGGAATTGGAAAGTAGAGAATTCAAAACAGTCTGAATAATTCTCTGCTGAAGTCAATATCGGATTTGTAAACAAAAGTAAGATGTATTTAATTTATTCCCTGAAACGCTATTTGTTTTATGTTTTTTATATCTCTCAGCGGCACGTCGCAAATGAATAATTGATAATGTCTACAAAATGAACAAAACGAACACTTGAATATTGATAATGTTTACAAAAACCAACAATAATAATACTTCTAAGGACTGTTTCATGCTCTCAAAGGATAAACTTGATGCCCACATATACTCAAGATTTGATATGAGGTGGCTGGCAATTGAACACGAAAGTTAACAGAACAAGTGAATTCCTTACATCTGCTTAGAATAAAGCGGAGATCGTCTAAAAGCTCTTACAGAGCTTGATTGATCTCCTGCCTTGTAGTAATTTAATAGGTTACGTGTGTACATATGAATGTATGGTAGATAAAGGCACTTCTTCTCTCTAAATTTTCCACAAAAACAAATGAAAAAATAAGAGGTATATAATTATTAATCACTATTTCTTAAATTCTAACATGAAAATGAAGAGTGCCGGATACTGCCAACTTTCAAACGTTTTGGCTCTTACACTAATAATGCACGGGATGTTTCGTCTTAATTTTTATGCGAAAATTCATCAGTGTTTAGCCTGACAATGCGGAAAGAAAAACAGTTTGCAGAATATAGTTATTTCATTACTTAAAAATTTCTGCGAAAAATTAATTTCAACTTTTGATCGTTTTTAATGATTTGTAGCTCTTGATTGATTGCAGAGTATACGTTGACTATAGCAGCTGTCAACGACGCCGGAAAACGTATTGCAAGTCAATACCATATTTATCAGGCCTTCACCGAGATCACATAAAAAGCCCTCCTGATTCCGGGGTTAATTGCAGAATTAGAAACCCTTTCGTACTGAAACACGCATGATGCAATAAGCTTTTTCACCAAGGAATCAAACCAATAATGAACGGATCCAGGAGAAAGATCTTCGGCCTAACATGTGCTAATAAGTATAACGGACCAGTCAAAGAAAAAAAGGAAAGAATACGCAAAAAGAAAGAGGCCAAGAGATAAGGTTTGAGTTGGGCAAAACCCTCCAAAATTAGAATTTGGTTGAGTAGGCGTTCCTTTCGGTAGGTTAATTCACACAAAGCCTGCCAGCAAGTTTCCAAAAGTCCCGAAAAAAAGAACTCCCTCCCACGCTTGCCAGTTCCCTAATTGAAAATGATGCCCTGGCATAAGATTCCAATTTTTTTCGGCAGGAGCTAAACCGACCTCTCCATCACCTTTTAACGAGGGCTTGATTGTTCCCAAACCGGTAACGGAGAGGCAACAATATCTGACAGTCCAGGTCCCTTTCCAGCTTTTTTTGTTCTGTTTATGGATTATTTGAGGATTTGATATAACAAACACGAGACAGTGTTTCAACGCATTTACAGTCAAACCAGGTCAAGCGTTCCCGTCGCTAACGAACTAATGAATTCATTCGCGGAAAAATGATTTCGTTTGTTGATTCAATAATCCATTCATAAAATGAACAATCCAATAGTCATATTTAGCCTCGATTCCATAATCGAATGTTGATTCGATTACTGTTTTTTGAAAAATTACACTTTCCACAAGTTGACCTCAGAATTTTGTTTTTTTTTTTTTTTTCTGAGAGTCGAGTGCTGGCGAGTTCTGAAGTTCAAACCCAAACAAACCGTTACATGTACGCCAGTTTGCTGCCAATAATCAGTGCAACAGACCTAGGCCTGACCTCTTAGAAAACACGACGGTCAAACTGAGGTCAGTGTATGTGCGGTGATTGGTGGATTTCGATCCTCGGCCTTTGTCAGTTTCTTTGCGTTTGCGGTCTGTCTATTCTAGCTGTTATTTTGATTAAAGGCAATGAAAACGCAATCGTAAACGGCAGGAAAAGGGAAGCAAATACGATTGAACACAACAGACAAGAATAAAGAACAGGTAGATTTTGTTCATAAACCAAATCAACATTTGATTATTGAATCGAGGTACAATTTGACCGTTGGATTATTCATTTTATGAATGGATTATTGAATCAACAAACGAAATCATTTTTCCATTAATGAATTCATTAGTTTGTTAGCGACGGGAACGCTTGACCTGGTTTGACTGTAAAACACCTCTTAAACAATATGGAGTATTTCAAGGAACTTCAAGGTTTTCCGATCCATATTCCGATACAAAAAAGGTACTGTCCAGTATATGATAGAGGTATATTCCGTAATTCCTCGATTAAACGGCGGACGCCGATTGAACGCCGGTCTCGAAAAAACTCCAGGTCAAAACTGCCGATTTTTAAACTGGCAAACAAGAACCAAAAACTTTTAGGTCGCCGTTTCGTAGATTCTTAACATGTTACCAAAGTAGTACATGTATCGTAAGGTTATTTCGTTCCTTTTTCGAGGTGGTCTGTGGCTTCATTAATTTGAGGAAGCATAAACCAACACCATCTTTGTCATGGAAATCTAATCATGTTCAACTCTTCCAGTAAGGAGGTTTGACAGATTTCAAGTTATTTGTTAATAGGTCACGTCTTGACTTTTAATTGGATGAAAGAAATAACAAACGCGTTCATTGGTTACCTGGTTTTTGCAAAACAATTTGTTTGGATGCCAAGCATTAACTCCCCCAGGAAAAATTTGTATAACAAGCCAATTCTGACAGATTTTACTGAGATGCCAAGTCATGACGTCATTGTCGTTAACATATTCCACTATAAAAAAGAAGTAAAACATTCCTACCACAGGCAGCCCAAGCTCACGTCACGTGAAAGGATTAGATTAATTATTAGCGGTGTGCGAGGCGGGACGTGACTGTTCAACGAAAGCGGTATTGGGTTACATGGCGGCCGTGAATTTATAAGGGATTTGTATGGGAATCCACGTTATAGATTTAGGAAGATAAATACTCGTAGAAATTTTCAATAAAAAACGTCTTACCTTATTTACATGGTGTGTTCCTGCTTGCTGTGTGGTTATTTTCCCGATCCGGTGCGATTTTAGCGATTTTTTTCATTTCTGAGTTTCCACTACTAAAGAGAGAGCAAGGCCGAACACTTCCAATCTGGACAGCCCGCCGAACGAAGCCAAAAATTCCAGGTTAAAATATCCCCACGGCCAAAATTCCACCGCAGAATCCAACTACAAAGGTTAAACTTTCATTTCAACTTTCTAGCCACGCAATCGCATCCCTGCGAGCGACGCCAGGCGGCAGTTTGTTTCCCCGATGAAACAGTAAAACGTTGGGCCAGAACCGCGTACAAATCCACCACGACACAACGACCGTTGAAATCGGCTTGGTAACCTCGTCACGTCGACAAACAAAGACTCACGGGGTACACTAACGCAAATTGTCAACGTGAATTTCTGTTCTCATCCTGGGTCCCCTCGGGTCGAATCGACAATACCGCATTGTCTCAATCGACCAATCAAAATCGCACCGTGTCGTGTTTGAAAGTTTATGCAAACTCAGAGGAAACCCAGGGAGATAAATACGTGGAGCTGGATATTTTATTCTTATTACGTGGAGATTTGTTTCTTATTACGATGTGATCATCTGGAAATTCAGGACAGATTTCTTTAGCGTTCAGTCATGTAAGTCTAATGTTTATTTCGTTTGTTTTTTATTCAAGCGTTTGAATCTTCAAGTTCAGGAATGATATTTTGGCACCTCGTTGTCTTTGTAATCTACGAGCTAGCGATGGAAGTGACATTCATCCACTCTTAATTTTCCAATTTTAGGGTGAAGCTCAACGAGGACCAGAATACTATAGTAAAGTTTGCCTCCGAAGGCCATAATTTATTAATTACTGGCCAGGCTGGAGTCGGGAAAAGCGAGGTGGTGAAAACGATAATCGGAACAGCGAAAGCACGTGGGAAAAAGGTAGCTGTCATATGTTCTAGCGGCATTGCTTGCCAAGTATACGATCGTGGCGAAGCGTCAACAGTGCACTCATACTACGGCCTTTCGACTTCGGAGTTGCCTTGGCGGCAAGTTATTGATCGATCTTGCGAGAACTCTTTAATACGAGACAGAATAAAGGCCATCGATGTAATCATCTGGGACGAGGCGAGCATGTCCTCTCAGAGGATGTTTGAACTTGTCAATTTTCTGCATCACGAATTAGCGACAGATGATTGCAAGAATCTCCCTTTTGCAGGAAAGCAAATCATACTTATTGGCGAATTCCTTCAGCTGCAACCTGTACCAAATCTCTTTGATGAAGGCCACTTCATGTTTTTTTCCCCGTTGTTTGACTTTGCTGTGGCTCATCGTTTCGGTTTAACGGTGGTTATGCGACAGCAAGACCCAGCATTTTTGTCCGCTGTATCAGAAATCAGAGAAGGAAATTGTTCGTTGGCCACAGAACATTTTATCACC